ACCAGCAATACTTATTTTTTTACTACAATAATTGCATTTTGCCATATTATCTGGTGTAAGTGTAAAGTGATTCCATATATTACTGCGCTTTTTTAAAATCAATGGATTTTGCGTAGACATTGTAATTAATTATAATAATAATAATGTTTGTACAATTACTATTATTATTTATTAGAATTAAGAATTATTAAGAAATTAGAATTAAGAATCACCACACATTCACTGAAAAAGTCACAACTCAGTACTCACATTGAAGACAGGCAAATAATTTGTTGAGTACTAGTGAGATTAAAATATAAGTATTATTGGGAAAATATAAAATTCCAGTTTTGCAACAGTTATTATATTCTTATATTTTTCATGGACTATAGTACTACAGTACTATACTTTAATAAAGTAAGTAACATATTTAACAGATTTAGAAAATATGTCATAAATCTCTTATCTTAATAGCATCAAGTTTGGGTGTACAAATTTACAAATAACAAATTTATATAAATATCAAATAAATCCTTTATTGTTAAACATTTTTAAATCATTAACTTAATGTATAATATACTATAATAAAGACAATAATAAATAAATATATTTTAAAGAAGAATTCAAATTTTGGTGGGATTTTGGCATGTATTTTACATTTTGATGTATTCAAAATGACGGATAATCATAATAGATGATGTATGCAGTAATACTATCGGATCGTTCAAATGACCCGTTTTGCGAATCATGTGTACTGTGTAGTAGGAAGGCAGGTAGTCGTTCGTTAATTCGTTCGCGGGACGCGTGAACGATATGAACGATATGAACGAATCACATGAACGGGTCTTTTGAATGACCCGATCCGAACGACCCGAATCGTTCAAATGACCCGTTTTGCCCATCACTAGACTACTCTGCGCGACTGGCGGACGACTGCGCGACTGAGGACGTCTCTGCGCGACTGAACACAACCTAACCTAACCGAGTATAAGTTATAGTTTAGATGAGGTTTCTTGAATTGAGGTCTGTATCGGTAGCCAGCTCGGCTTGTCTTCTTTTCCGATGCCAGGCATCGCATTTAAAAAGGGTGTGCGCTGCGTTGTCTAGTAGATCGCCGCAGAACTAGCACTCGGAGCTTTCCAGTGTTCCAAACCGTTTTAGGTCTGCGTCGAAGCAGCCATGTCCGCTGAGCGCTTGTGTGAGATGGAAATCCGTTTCTCCGTGTCTTCGGTTGATCCATGGACTGATGTTCGGTATTAGAGTGTGCGTCCATCTGCCCTTCTCACTGTCGTTCCATCTGTTCTGCCATAGCTCCAAGATGTTCACGACTGTTGGTGGTCTTTCAGGGTCTCTTTTTTTTTCGTACATCATTTTTCGTTCCTTCACGAGTAGATCCAGGAGGGCGATTCCCGTGATAACCCTGAGTGCGTCGGTTGATGTAGTGCAATATGCAGAGGCCACTCTGAGACAGATGCGCCTCTGTACTTTCTGTAGTGTTGACCATCCCGTGGCGCACATGTCTTATTACCATATCGGAGAGCCGTATAAGAGAATGGAATGGGCCATGTGACTTTGAAGTTTCCGCTTTGTTGGCCTTGCTGAGCTGATGTTTGGTAGAATGAGGCGTAGCTGCTGTACTATCTTGACCGCTTTAGTAGCAACAGTGCAGGCGTGATCGGAGAACCGCCAGCGACTGTCAATGTGAATGCCCAAGTATTTGACGCATTTGCTTGATTCCACGTGGTGGCCGTCAATGTCGATCGTCATCTCATTGTGGGTTCTGGTATTAGTAATCACCATGGCTCCGCACTTTTGCACAGCTAGTGGAAGTCCTGTCTTGATGAGCCATTCGTTGACTCTTTGCGCTGAGAGTGCTAGTTTTTGCTCTAGTCCGATGGAGTCGGTGGCCTTCATGACGAGAGCGACGTCGTCCGCGAAAGCCAGGTATTCCACTCCGGGAGGCAGGCGAGTCCGCAGGAGGCCATCGTAAAGGATGTTCCACAATGTGGGCCCGAGACCTGACCCTTGAGGTACCCCACACGTGACTGGCATCCTCTCCTCGATTCCCCCTGACTCGAAGCATAGTAGGCGGTTTTCCAAGTAGCTGCTTATTATTTGTTGAAGGTATGTGGGCACCTCCATGTCCCGCACGGCTTCCAACATAGCGTTCCACGGGGCAGAGTTAAAAGCGTTTCTTATGTCTAGCGTAGGTATACCCACCTTTTGCTTGCTTTCCTTGACCGTTTTCCTCAGGACCTCCAGGGCGTCGATGGTCGAACGTCCTTTTCGGAACCCGAATTGCCTCTCATGAAGTCCTTTGCTGGTGTCTAGAAATTGCCTCAGTCGGTTGTCAATAATTTTTTCGAATAATTTTCCGATCCAGTCAAGTTGGCATAATGGTCTATAAGAAGATGGGACGTCCAGGTGGCCTATTCTTGAAAGTAGTAGAACGATATTCGTATACGAACCATTCTACTGGTAGATATTCTACTACCAACTCAAAACCGTATTCTTGAACGCCAATAGAATAGTTGGTAATAGAACTGGTCGTGCACGAATATTATTCGAATGGTGCGGAACGGCAACGTCGCAATGCCGTCCGTTCATTGGTCGAAATTTATATGAGCACGCGCAATTAGTAAAAAATTCAAAATACAAAATAATATTTCAATATTACACTCTTTTTTTTATAGTGACCTTTCCGTTCTCGATCCCTGTGTCTCTTTTTGTTTTACTTCTGTTTTTTTTTTTTTTTTTGTACGATGGCGAGAAAGTCGATGACACCGTCACAAAAAGAAGCTCTGGTGGAATTTATGGAAAACCACCCCGATCTAAGAAAAGGCAAGTTTTCCATAAATTTTACAACGGTAATGGCAAAAGAAGTGGGTGGAATGCCAAACTAAGTTAAACAGCATCCCCGGACCGGCCAAAGAATGGCATGAATGGCGAAAAGTAATTATGTTAGTTGTCATTTATGATTATAGTATATATGATTACATTAGTATGTATTATAAAGTTTGTATTATATTATAAATATTGATGAAACAAACAGAAATTCTAACATAAGATATTAAGAAAATATCTAAAATAAAAATATTTACCCCATAATCAAATATCACTGTAGGTACATCGTACATGTTTAAGAAAATATCTCTAGTATTAATTTAAATTAATCACTTAACATTTAAAATATTAAAAAAAAAATAACATTAAGTCGACAATTAATTAAGCATTTCTGTTTTAGTAGGTACTTCTCGAAATATTTTTGTTATTAATTAAATAATCCTTAAGTCATAACATAATATGATATGCAGTGCATATAGATATAATCAACTAGTTTTTAATATATATTATCTTAACTTTCAAAACATAATTAAGTTAGAAATAAATTAATATCGTAATATGTTTGATGCATATTGTATATAAATAATTATAATAATAAATAAAAGGTGATTAATATTATATATTAATAAACTTTATTATTAAATATTAAGGGATACATATTAATACATTATATATATAATTATATAGGTAAATACCTACCTATTATTTGGTCATAATAAGTAGTAGATACTTAATATTGGAATGCACCATAATAAATTATAGTTATTTTATTATACAGGATGATCATTTTATCATGAACTACTCGCTATATCAAAAACTATTAACTTTTAACGTTTTTGAAAATATTATTCTATAGCTTGTATATGTTGTTACAAAATAATCTTTTTTAAAAAATTATATTTTTTACCATTTTTTATGGTAATTTTTTATTTACTTGAACGTAACACATTCAAATATAATGTCAGCCAATGACAAAGCCGAATCTTGATTTTAATAAAAAAATATATATTAATATTATATTCTGAAGCAGGAATATCTCTTGGAGTATTTTAATACTTACATAAAAATCAAATTTAGAGTGGGAGTGGTACAAGTACCTCGTAAAATGTTTATCTATTACTCCACTTATACTCTATACTTTCACATAATATATGTATATTTTACATAGGTACATAATGTTGCTTAACTTTATAATGATCATAGGTATTAGAAAAAAATGTGTGAAATATAATATATAATACATTAATATTGGTATAAATAATAATATAATTAAAAATTGTATTAGCTTAGGTACTAGGTTCATATAAATGCGTAATTAAATCGGGCGCCATTACAGCGTAAATGATTATTCGTATACCTACGAATAATAGGATTCTACTACGATACACCACACGACCCGTTCGTAGTAGAATCCGGTAGTAGAATAGAATCCGTTCGTATACGACCGGCGTTCAAGAATAAGGTTTTGTCAAAGTAGTAGAAAAAGTACAAATATTCGTATACGACTATTGTTCTACTACTTTCAAGAATAGGCCCCCAGAGGTTTATCTCCATTACTCAATAGAACCAGTCGAGCTTTTTTTCCAGATCTCCGGCAAGACCACGCTGCACAGACAGGTGTTGTATGCGTTTATGAGTATGTTCGGGTTGAGTGCCACTATCACTTTTAGTACCTCGTTCGGGATACAGTCAGGACCCGGTGAGGTGTTGACTTTAAGACTTCTGGCTGCTGTGGCGAGTTCGGCGCGATCAATCGTATGTGCAGAATGGTCGTTGGGTGCTATCCACAATGGGGTGTTGGCGCTTCTTGTGTGGTATTGTGGGAACAACCCGTTGATGATGCTATGGAGTCGGCGCGATCAATCGTATGTGCAGAATGGTCGATGGGTTCTGTCCACAATGAGGTGTTGGCGCTTCTTGTGTGGTATTGTGGGAGCAACCCGTTGATGATGCTATGGAGTCGCCCAGTCGTCAGGGATTGGTGGGGGTCTTGTGAGTTTGCGCATTATTAGCTTGTATGGTAATCCCCAAGGATCTTTCTGCACTTTATCGCGGAGGTCTCTCCAGGAGGATTCTTTGGCCTTCTTTATCACTAGAACCAATTCGCGTTTCGCTGCCTTTGCTAGAGCTTCTTCGGCCTCACTAGCGGCAGGGCCCTGGAGCTTTCTCTTTCGTTGTTACGTTCGCCGTAGATGGTTAGCCGTGTGGAATAGCGCCCTGATCTCCGGGTTCCACCAGTGCACTGATTTCCTGGGGTTCTTGCTCGAGTGGGGTGGTCTCCGGCATGATTGTATAATCATGAGTAGCACTAATCTTGAGTTTTTCCATTTCATGTGGAAGTCACCTACTCGCAGGCACTCGTTGAACATTCCCCTGACGAGGGTTGCTTCTGCCCTGTGGGCTGCTGCGAGTATGCAGTTGGTAAGTCCATCCGGGCCGGGTGCTTTCCTTCTGGGGGCCATACGTTTGAAAGCCTCACGGACCTCGTCCTGCGTGAAGAATGGGATGGGGGTGTCACGGCTGTACTCTATTTGGCTGAGTGGTGGCTTCGTTGGAAAGAGCGTCGCGACGATTTCCTTCAGAATCGTGGGCTCCATGTTCGCCGTCGCTGGTGGGCCTTGCAGTTTCCTCAATACCAGCTTATACGGCTTGCCCCATACGTCGTTTTCTACGGTTTCGAGTAGTTCTTTCCACGCGCGTTCTTTACTCTTTGCTATCTCCGTCCTGAGGGCCTTTTTGCGGGATTTAAGGTTCTCCAGCAGGTCTTCAGTCACCGCTGTTTCTCCACCGTTCCTGGTCTGCCTGGTCACTGCTCTTTTTAATGCTCTTCTTGCTGCAAAGCAATTGGAGCGGAGTTGAGCTATCTCCGGGTTCCACCAGTGCTGAGGTCTTTTGCCACATCGCATTGCGGGTTTCCTCTGGAGTGCAAAATCGCATGCGACGGTCATCCTTTTCTCGAAGGCATCAGCTAAATTGTACTCCCCCATGTCAGCTTGCCGTGGGGAAATCCAATCCGCCATTATAAGGCCTGCTTTGAATTCCTCTACGCAGATGTCCTTGGATGTGATCCAGCTCCTATCGTTGCGCGGAGTGTCATTTCTCCTGCTAGAGCTTGGGTCCGTCTGTACTGTGTACACAATGTAATGGTGGTCTGAGTAATTTTCTTCGTCTAGTACCGTCCAATCTCTGATGTTGCGGGAAAATGCCATATAGCCATGCCTCCTATACCATGAAATGTGGGCTCTCGCCCCGTGTTGATTATGACCAGACCTAGTCCTTCGGAGAGCTCTAGGAGTTCTTCTCCTCTGGTGTTACTCTGCCGGTCGCCCCTTGCGGCTGATCTCACGTTAAAATCCCCGACGATAATAATTCTCTCCTGGCATCGTATCAGTTGTGCGCTCCTTTCTAAACGTTGTAGGAATTCCCGGTATGCTGCTATTGTGGAGTTTGGTGACGCGTAGCAACTATATATTAATACTCAATTTACCCTTACCAGTACAAACTCATCATCGGTCTTGATTTTCGCTATCGTGGCGTTTTTCCCAAACACTTTGATTGCGGCCCTATTTGTACCGCTGCTTGCTTGTTAGCCATCATCCGTTGCCGTCTGTGATCCCGTGATGGTCGCATGCGATAACCACGTCGATGTTTCTTTCAACCACTTGTTAGCTCCACCAGGTTGTAAGCCGTTTGACAGTGGTTGAGATTAATCTGTAAAAGATTAATCAATGCCTCCTGGTCTGTTGGGCCTTCCGGCCTCATTACGCGGCATTGACCCTGTCGTGGATCGCGTTTCGCAATTCTTGGCCACATGACCATCATTCCTACATTTGATGCAGCGGTTGGAACGATCTTCTGTGGCCGTTAAATGACCTGTGAGCCCCCCCCCACCACGACAATGTGGGTCCCGTTTGTACCTAACCTAACCTTACCTAACCTTTTTTTTTTTTTAAGACGGTATCGTAAACGAGGAGGGAAATTTGGTTTCCCATTACTGCCTCCCCACTCACATCATTTATTGACAAACTACAAATTATAATTTATAACAAATATGGTTTGTACAAAAATTTGTGGCCCTTTAACCACCCTGCCTTTGGCTGTTCAGCCTACAATGTTAAAACTTAACTAATTATTTTAAACAAAAATTATTCATTTAGTCTGCTACTGCTGCTGCAGGTGCGCCTTGCCTTCGCCTCTCCAAATCCTCTTTGCAGCTCATTATGGACTCGATCATTCGGGAAAAACTATCAGCCATCCTGGTCACAGCCTCTTGAATTTTTTGTCGCTGGATCGGGTTCGCAGGAAGCTCGTCCGGTATTGGTCTACACAGTAGGTCGGTGACATCTCCGAGACGGGGTTGCCTTCGGAGGAGTTGCGACAGTTCGCTTCTGGCTTCGTTCCAGAAAGGACACACGAAAGTAGTGTGCTCCGCATCATCGACTTCTGCCGTGCAGTGAACGCAGGCTGGACTCTGTGCTCTGTCCCTGTCCCACAGATATTTTTGGAAACATCCATTGTTCGTTAGCGCCTGGACCATATGGAAGCTCACTTTGTTCGGTCCCTGGTACCACCACCTCGCCAGATCTGGAATCAACCTTCTGGTCCACGCGGCTTTCTCGGTGGAATCCCATTCTGCTTGCCACTGCCGGATTATCTCCCTGGTTTCTTCCGTCTTGAACAGGACTTCCTGGCCTCGGCAATCCTTTTCCTAGGCTCGGCGACAATGAAATCCGGAGGCATTCTGGCCAGGACCAGCGACGCCATATCCGACACTGTCCTATAACTCCTGGCTACTCTGAGGACCGCAGTCCTTTTGCCTTCAGCAGCTCCTCTTTAGCTTTCCTGACGCCGCTTACTCTTTCCACCCATACTGAGGCACCGTAGAGGAGCCGGCTGTGTACTCGCTCATAAGCAGTCTTCGCTTCGACTGCGAAGGGCCTCCGACATTTGGCATTAGCCTCCCGAGTGCAGTCGCAGCTTGCTTGGCGCCCGAGGCAACCGAGGTGGCGTGTGTGACGAATGACACCCTAGTGTCCAGCCGCACTCCTAGGTACCTGATGTCCCGTTTTACTGGCACCCGGCTGCCTTGAATGTGGAACACTGGCGAACCGAACGAGTGCTTGCCCGTCAGAATGACGCATTCAGATTTTTCCGGAGCGAGAGTCAGACCGTTGGCTGACATCCATCGGTCTACGTCGGAGAGGCCCGGATTGACGAGTTGCTCCATGAGCTCGGCATTGTGGGCTGTCGCTACAACTGCTACGTCATCCGCAAACGCGATTAGTTTGACGTCCCTATGGACAGGTAGTCGCAGGATGCCGTCGTAAAATATGTTCCACGGCGTCGGCCCGAGAAGGGACCCCTGTGGCACGCCGCAGGTGACCGGTAGGCTCGACAATTCCGAGGCTCGATCCTCGCCGAGCAACAGTTGGCGTTCTGACATGTAGGACCTGAGGATGTCTATCAGGTAGCCTGGAACGGACGACCTCTGCAGGGCTTCGTCAATTAGCCTCCAAGGCGCTGTGTTGAAGGCGTTTTTAACATCGATCGTCAACACCGCGCAGAGTCTTCTGTTTTGGACAGCGCCTCTTCCCGCAGCACGAGCTGCTTTCAGGACCTCCTCGATGGCGTCAGTTGTTGATCGGGAGCGTCTGAAGCTAAACTGAAGCCCACTGAGTTTGTTCTCCGTGTGTGTCTGCAGGCGATTTAGCAGGAGGCGCTCCAGTAGCTTTCCAGCACCGTCTAGCAAGCTGATGGGGCGGTAGCTCGACGGCTGATCTGGCGGCTTGCCCGCACACTTGTGCAGCAGTACCAGCTTAGCCTGCTTCCATCTTCCTGGGAATTCTCCTCGGGACAGACAGGCGTTGAAAGTAGCGAGAAAGATCTTCGATTGACGCTTCGCCGCCATCTTAATCAACTCGTTTGGAACGAAGTCAGGACCCTGAGCTTTCCCCGTAGGCAGCCTTCCTACAGCCAGTGAAAGCTCTTCCTCGTTGAAAGGCGGCGTCGTATCAGAAGCCGATTGATCTAAGTCGCTGGAGAGTCCAGGTTCTAGCGGGACGCGATCCCAGACTACCGCCGGTAGAGTTGGGAAGAGACCGGGTTAGGTTAGTAGGTTAGGTTAGGGTTAGGGCTCTCTCCAAGACTTCTCCTGGGCTTTCCGTATGGCAGTTCTGAGCTCTTTCCTAGCTTGATTGTACGCTTGGAAAGTCGACTCTCGATGTCTGGTGTCAGCTCTACGACCCGCGCGCTGGTAGCTCCTGCGGGCTGCAATGGCATTTCTGCGGAGATTGGCGATGTCTATGTTCCACCATTGGACTGCTTTTTTGCCCCTGGGCCTCGATCTCCTCAGCATTGCCGCATCACAAGCCTTGCTCAGGAAGTTTTGAAGATGTTCCGCATGGTCATCTACTGATGCTTCCCTAGGGAGAGGGGGAGGTTGTGCTCCATCGCGATCCCAGTGTTTTTTGATGGCCTCCAGAGAGAGTTTCTTCACCGACCATCCACTAGGCCGGACTTCCCTCGCTGGCGGTCGACGTGGCCCTGGTTTTGACACAAAAAACGTAATGTACTCGTGATCGCTGGCGGTGTATCGGTTCGCGAGCATGGACCACTCGGACACCAAGAGTCGGTTATTCGCAGCTCGTGCGAAAGTAACATCTATCACTGACTCGGCGTTTACCCTCCTGAAGGTCGGTGCATTACCCACGTTGCAGACCGTGAGGTCAAGGACCGATGCGAAACCTGACAGGAGAGTTCCTCTCACATCATCCGTAGATGAGCCCCATTCTGCCAAGTGAGAGTTGAAATCGCCTGCCACTATGAGGTCAATCCCATCTCAAACTTGTTGTCGGATCGACGCCTCGAGACCGCCGAGGAAGTAATCGAATGCCTGGATGGTGCAATTTGGGGTGCAGTAACAGCTGTAGAATAAAGTACTTCCAGCTCTCACCCAAGCGAAGCCGTCACCGGAACCTTGGTCGGAGACGATGACTGTGGATCCGTTTGGGGCAAGCAAGGCGCACTGGCCGTTCGTGCTAGCAACCCATTGCTCCGGTTGTCCCATAGGGCCGTTGTAGTCACTAACAATGACGACGTCGATACCGAGTTCCGCGAAGGTTTGCAGGAGGAGCTGTTGAGCCATCCAGCACCATCTATAACCTTACCTAACCTTTTTTTTTTTTACATTGGAAATCAAGATCTGGGGGTGGCACCGACGTTAGTCATTTCACCCCCCAGATCCCATCGTTTATTATGAAGTAAACATGCATCAAAAAAGGCCTGAAGCAGGGACAGTCCCCCTGCGTAGGACCGCACAAACGTTTATTTTACAAAATTTGAGGGGCTCTATCCCATCTATTTTCGCTTTCAGCGCACATCATGAGTTAGCTTAACTAAGTTTCGTTATGGAAGGGGGAGTCCTAGCCTCCTCTTTTCTTTCTCGGACTTCTTTTTAAGGACGTCGTGCACAAACCCGTTGATTGTGTCTCGTGAGGCTATCTTTCAACATGAGGTCCATGAAGTTGTCGGGTCCCAGCGTTTCTCCAATCTCCAACACCACTCGGAATCTTCTGGTTTTTCACGCATCGCAATGGAAAAGCGTGTGTAGAGCGTCATCAATGTGGTAGCCGCAGTACCAACACCTTGGGTCATCAAGCTTCTTGATCTTGTGAAGGTAGGATGAAAAACCTTACTTGTTCGTTAGCACCTGTGTCAGCCAGTAATCCGTAGATCCGTGCCTCCTGCTTCTCCAACGCGAGATGTCTTTAATCAGTCTGTGCGTTCATCTACCCTTGGCCTGGTCGCTATCCCAGCGAGTCTGCCACGCCATAGCTGATACACGTTCTGCTTCTCTTTTGGCTTCTCCGTACTCTGGGCTCAGTCGTTGTTCGAATATTGTTTTTCGTTTTAGTGCCTGAAGATCTATTGGGGGAATTCCCGCGATGACCAGCATGGTGTCGGTAGACGTAGTGCTATAGGCTGTCGCGACCCCTTAACGCGATCTGTCTCTGAACCTTAGCGAGGTCAGACATTCCTTTTTTGCTCATTGTGTTTGCCCAAACTAGCGCACCGTACAGAAGCATGGAATGGACGACGTTTGACGTTAGCGATCTTTTGGCCTGTGTAACAGCACTCACATTGGGTAAGATTCTGGACAGGTTCTGTACGGCTTTGTTTGCATTTTTACATACCAGCCTTGCATGTGTTGTAAAGCTGAGCTTTTGTCCTAGGGATCCCTAGGTACTTTAGTTCCTGGCCTGCGCACAACTGTTTCCCGTCAATTTCGATGTCCAGCTCGTTGTGACGGCGTTTCTTTGTGATGACTAGTATCTCGGGCTTGTGACGTGCAAGTTGGAGGCCGGCGTTGAGCAGCCAATCCCTGGTCTTTTCCGCGGCAGACTGCAAAGTGTTCCTCAGTTGTATGGTGTCTGTGGCCTTGGCTATTATGGCCACGTCGTCGGTGAATGCAAGATACCTTGCCCCATCTGGAAGCCTTACCCTGAGTAGGTAGTCGTATAGGATGTTCCACAGGGTAGGGCCTAAGACCGAGCCTTGTGGAACTCCACTTGATAACTGCATCGTGACTTCACCTCCGCTCGGGTCTTGTGGGTAGAGTGTCCTGTCCCAGAGGACAAAGATAGGAATTCAGTTCTTTAGCTGCCATGGCTTCTAGAATATTGTCCCATGGGGCAGAACTAAACGCATTCTGTATGTCCAGACACAGCATTCCGATTTTTTCCCTAATGCTGCAATCCTCCGCAGCTTTGCATACTGCCGCAAGTGCGTCTGTCGTGCTTCGTTGGCGGCGAAAGCCGAACTGATTTTCAGAGAGGCCGCTTGGAGTACTTGTTTCGAGAACCCCCCTCAAGCTATTATCAATTATTTTTTCGAACAGTTTCCCGGTACAGTCCATTATTGTTGAAAGTGAAGCTTGACGGACTAATGATGTTAGTATTAATATAATAAGTAATAACACGACAATATGATTATGTATAAATATAATATATAACAACGTACAACTGCACAATTAAACTGTGACAGTACACACACATCGTATACGCTCTGTACGACGACGCCTGTGCAAGTGAATATTACATACATCAAAGGCTCTATATATATGCACGACCGAGGTCATGTTACATCCGTGAAGAGAGTGAGTCTTATGCTCGTATACCGGGTGATTCTTTTATCAAACAACACTCATTATTTCAAAAAGTGTAAATTTTTTTGAAGATATTTTTTTACATAGTGTTGAAAGTGAAGCTTGACGGACTAATGATGTTAGCATTAATATAATAAGTAATAACACGACAATATGATTATGTTTAAGTATAATATATAATAACGTACAACTGGACAATTAAACTGTGACTATACACACACACCGCGTACACTCGGTATGACAGCGTCTGTGCAAGTGAATATTACATACATCAAAGGCCCTATATATATGCACGACCGAGGTCATGTTACATCCGTGAAGAGAGTGAGTCTTATGCTCGTACATAACTAGTTACTATATTGTACACACGTGTCAAGGCTGACTACATATACTACATATTAATTGTATATTTCAACACATAGTTTCAAGTCGCTTATAAAACAACGTTTTTATTAAAAAATTATTTTTTTATTATTTTTTATCCTTATAATTTTTTAAGTTTTTTACTCTTTTGAATGACAACATAGGGTTTTAATTTTATATTCTAAAGTAGAATATTTTTCTTAGTATTTTGATACATGAAAATTGAATTTGGGGCGAGTAGTTTATGAGTTATAAGTATTTAAAGTTTAGACGAGCGGTGAAGTGGACAAACATTTCGCGGGGTAACCCCGAACCACTCCACTCCGCTCGTCTAAACTTTAAATACTTATAACTCATAAACTACTCAACCCAAATTCGATTTTCATGTATCTAAATACTAAGAAAAATATTCTACTTTAGAATATAAAATTAAAACCCTATGTTGTCATTCAAAAAAGTAAAAAACTTAAAAAATTATAAGGATAAAAAATAATTAAAAATATAATTTTTTAATAAAAACGTTGTTATATAAGCGACTTGAAACTATGTAAAAAAATATCTTCAAAAAAATTTACACTTTTTGAAATAATGAGTGTTGTTTGATAAAAGAATCACCCAGTATAACTAGTTACTAAATTGTACACACGTGTCAAGGCTGACTACATATACTACATATTAATTTTATATTTCAACAATTATGCAAAGTGGTCTGTAAGAGGAGTGTTGAAAAGGAGGTTTATCGCCCTTTTTGATGAGAACGAGGCATGCTCTCTTCCACGTTGTCGGAATGTGGCCTTCTTCAAGGCATTTGTTGTACAATTTCCTGTGCGTCTCAGGTTGGCGCTTTACTATTGTCTTCAGTACTTCGTTGTTGATCGCGTCAATTCCCGGTGACGTCCCGTTCTTAAGGGAGCTAGCAGCCCTGGTGAGCTCATCCAGGGAGATCTTTGTTTTGTTGTCGCGCTGCCAGGTTATTGCGCTGCGGAGTGAATGCACGAGAAAGAGTCCTTTGACAATAGTTTGAATGGCGCCGTGTTGTTGGAGTTCTCGGGGGGTCGGCTTTTGGTTAGCTTACCCATTACCAGCTTATAGGGTTTACCCCAGGGATCACGCTCATTTTGGTCACATAGTTGCTTCCAGCATAACGCTTTGGCGTTCTTGATTGCTTTGCTAAACTCCATCTTGGCATTCTTCATCGAGCTTATTTCTGCAGTACACTCGTCTAGCCCCATTCAACGCTTCTTCCTCTGGTATGCTCTACGCGCGTGGTTTGCTGCCTTCCTCAGTTTATTGATTTCTTGTGTCCACCAATAGACCGACTTCCTTTTCCCCGGCCGACCGTCTACCTTATCCCCACATGCTACCCTAAACTTGGTGGCGAAAGCAATGGCATGTTCTTCGGCATTGAGTCGGTCCAGGTTATCCAGGTCGCCGGCTTCCAAAGTTTCAACGAGCTTCCCGAAGTTGATTCTGAATTGTATCCTTTCCGTTTGGGGATCTGGAATAGCCTGGGCGCATTATTGTGTGTTGAATCGAATGTAATTATGGTCACTAAGTGAAATAGTGTCCAGCACCCACCAGTTCCTCATGCGAATGCTTAGGCTCTGCGACGCTATTGTAAGTTCCACAATCGATTCCCTATTCCCCTGCTGGAAGGTTGGAGAGTTCCCTTCATTACATATTACAAGTTCAAGAGAGGAGATCTTGTCTACCAGTGCTTCTCCGCGGGCGTTGCTGCTTCTCACACCCCATGCTGTGTGCCACGCATTAAAGTCACCAGCTATAAGTTACTATATTGCAGCTATGTTGCTTTCCTTCTGACGTCACTTTCTAGGCGGCTCAGGAATTGCTCATAGTCCTGGAGCGGAGTGTTTGGTGACCAGTAGCACGAGTAGAGCGTCAAACCATCCACCTAGATCCATCTGAACCCTTTCTCACTTTGGCCGGTGTTTGATACCATACAGTTAGGGTGACAGACAATAGCTACCTTACCGTTGAGGTCCGGGTACCAGTTTTGGTAGCCCAGATTATTGTATTCTGATACGAAAATTAATCAATTGCCTCTTCAGATGCATATTGACACATTTCCTCTTGGCTTTGGCGCAGTTCCAGTTGATCTGAAGGAAGTTATTAATTTGGTTGCTTTTGACGCGTCCTCATAATATGCTCGTCTGTAGACGTGGCATTTGAAGCTTCCTAGCACGTGGTTGTTAGTTTCTTCATCCTTGCATAGAAAGCATCTTGCATCAGTAGTGCATTCCCGCGCTTGCAGAGGTTGGTACGGTCGTCGTTTGAGCATTGGTCCCTCGTATGTCCGTAACCCTGACATTTGAAACATTTTCTGACCTCGTCTTTCAGTCTGACCCTGCAGTTAACATAGCCTATTCGGAGTCTGGTAGACGCCAACGTGTTTGCTGTAGCTGTAGGTACTGAGACTTTTGTGACTTTTGTACCTCGGCCGACTTTTCTCATGCTCAGAAGCGTGGATTTTACCGGGGATTTGGTCGACTTCAAGATGGCTTGTACAATATCCTCTTCGACTGTCTCTTCATCCACATCCCTTATCTCCACCTTAGTGGTGTCCGTTAGCCTGGTACAGGTAGCATCACTGCCGACGGCACAGGTGATAGCGCCCGTCAGCTCTGCGACGTCTGTTGTCTTCTGATTAAGCACTATCCGTAGGTGGCCGCTTCTGGTTTCGCTGACCGCACTGATATTGCTGCTCAGTGATTGCACACCTGTGTCTCTCTTGATTCTTTTAAGCATTTCGGAGTACTTCAGTTCTCCAGCTTTAACTATAATCACGTCCGGCCTAAGTCGTGGCTCAGCTGTTTGCGCTTCTTACTTGTTTTTCTCTTGACCTCCGTCCATTGTTCTTCTGATTTTCCCGAAGCCCCCAGGGGTGCTTCTTTAAGGGGTAATACAGGAAATGGAATTGGGTTAGTTCTGGGGGTGAATTGCCTGCGAGGCTGGCCAGTACCTTTGATTAATGCTGTGACTGCCATAATTTCTTCGAGCTTCTCATCTTGCTTATCTAATCTGTTGTAAACCTCTGTGTACCCTTTACACTCCGAATCAGACGCTTGTGGGGGCTCTGGGGGGCTGGTCTGAGTCATGCTAGTTGTTGTCTTGGGTTTTCCACCTTCTTTGGACCTTTGTGCTGCCTGTATGGCAGTATTAAGGGCAGGGTGAAGCACAGTTCTGTTCGTTGCTAGTTCCTCGGTTGTGGTGATGATATTTGAGATGCCTTCTTTGGTTTTGTCGCTCCTGGTAAGGGAGCTAAGTTGGCTAAGGGCATCAACATCACTGCAGAGCTTGTTGATGATGCTATTTTGCTTCTTGATTATTGCTTTTAAATTTGACAGATCTTGGATCACCGTAAGAGGACTTTTCCTATTAGAGTCAATCAGCTTGTCTGCCAGGATAGTCCTCTGGTTTTTACAACTGCCGTTATGTTGCGTGCCCTGAGGCACGGCTGTCTCAGCTATTGTAGCTGGAAGAGTGGCCGCCTGGTTCTTCGATGCGCCTGTTTATTGAACGATTGATGGATGCCCCCCCCCCCAGAATCTGTGGGGCCTGTCTCCGCAGAGAGTGGATACCCCGGCTTGGCCGGTTCACCATATGGGGTACAATTATTTTTTTGTTTTGATTCCATCTTTTCGAACGGCTGGTAATCTGAGGGTCGCCACTTCCCCAAATGGTAGGTGACTTATCGAGGGTTTACCGGGCCCTCGTTGCGTTCTATCCGGTCCGTTGAATGTTGCCGCTTCTTAGGAGTTGATCACGTTCCAGAGAGTCTGATGATGACAGTTCTAACTGTGATAACGTCATATGATAATGTATATTATGATAACATAACCTAATAATTATAATGTAACATGTTGTAACGAGAGCTGTTGACAACCATGTGTGTGTTATATATTCATTTATACTAAATAAAGTAAAGTTGTTTATTCCAGTAAACTACAAGTATTATGCTACCTTTATAAGATATTACAAATGGCGACGAGGCAAAAACAGTAATTGTGAACGCGATCGAAAAGGATAAAACAACCATTTAACGATGACGAACGGCCGGAATAGTAGTAACGCCCAAGGCGGGAATGAGAGTACTACTATACAGCAAGTCCAAATGTATGGTACTATGGGGACCTTGGCGGAGTTCAGAATCGATGGCGACTGGAATGTGTACCAGGAGCGGATGGAGCAATTTTTTTTGGCAAATGGAATTCCGGAAGAACGTAAGGTACCTTTACTAATAACATGCATGGGCGAACAAGCATATAAGATGCTTAAAGATCTATGTGACCCGGTCAAGCCAGCGGATAGTACATATGAGCAACTATGCACGGTACTGACTAGGCAGTTTGCTAAAAAAGTATCGGTTTATAGAAAAAGAGAGGAGTTTTATAATCTAAGACAGAATGCTAATGAGTCCGTAACAGACTGGTATGCAAAGATGAAAAATTTTGCAGCACAATGTAGTTTTGGATCAAATTTGATACCAGTACTAAAAGATAAATTCACTACTGGGATGAAGGATGGTCCAATCAAAGATCGGTTGTATGAAGAAGAAACGACCAAGGATTTGAGTGAGCTGATGGAAATTGCAATGAAGAAAGAAGCCGCAATCAAAACAACTAACATCGAGGTGCATTCGATTGGGAGAAGCAGGGAGGGAGCTAAGAAGAAAAATGGTAATGGTTCGCAGAAGAAACTATCAACAACGATGGGAGGCGAGAAGACTACGAAGAAAAACTATGATAAAGCTTGTTATGTATGTGGTCTGACAAATCACAAATTTTCAGAATGTAAGTATAAACAATGTAGATGTAAAAATTGTAATACGGTAGGGCATTTGGCAAAAGTGTGTAAAACAGTTAAAAATCATTTTGTTGAAGTTGAGGAAAATAAAGTTATGGATATGTTTCAAGTTGAGGTTAAAAGTGAAAATAAATGCGGATTAAGTCCTGTAATGATAAGTGTAAAAATTGAAAATGTATCAATTGAAATGGAAGTTGATTCAGGTGCTGGTATATCAATATTACCTGAAGAAATTGTGAAAGAGAAGTTACCTCATATACACATTAATTCTACGGTGTTAAAGCTAGTTTAAGAACGTATGATGGTTCAATTATTAAACCAACAGGAGAAATTGAAGTAAAATTGAAGTATGGTGAAAGAGAGTTATATGGTAAATTATTAGTAGTAAAAAAAGGACATAGAGCTCTGGTAGGTAGAGATTTAATGAAAAAATTAGGAATAACGATTATGGGTATTTCAAAGATTGAAGTAGAAAGCACAAATAAGAATAATAAATTAGAGTTACTAATGAATGAATTTGAGGAATTATTTGAGGAAAAAGTTGGTAAATATAAATATGAAAAAGTGACGTTGAAAGTTAAAGAAGGATGTACACCTGTATTTTGTAAACCAAGACCAATACCTTTTGCTTTTAAAAAAAAAGTTGAGGAGGAGTTGGATAGATTAGAAAAGGAGGATATAATACAGAAAGTTGAGACTAGTGAATGGGGCACTCCACTTGTACCTGTGATTAAACCAGATGGATCTATTAGATTATGTGCAGATTATAAGACTACGGTCAATAAATATTTAGTAGATATTAATCATCCATTACCTAGAGTAGAAGATGTTTTTGTGGCGTTACAAGGAGGTAAAACATTTTCTAAATTAGATTTTTTGAATGCTTATAACCAGTTAGAGTTATGTGAAAATACACAAAAACTATTAGCTTGGAGTACAAGTAAAGGTATTTATATAGTAAAAAGATTACCTTTCGGTACCAAACCAGCTTGTTCAAAGTTTCAGAGTGTTATTGAAAAAGTGCTGTTAGGAACAAAGGGTGTTAAAAACTTTTTAGATGACATTATTGTAACTGGTAGTAGTGAACAGGAACACTTAGATAATCTCAAGGAGGTGTTTAAAAGGTTACAAAAGGCTGGGTTTAGGTTAAATAAAAAAAAATTTAGTTTTTTTCAACCAAAAATAAATTACCTAGGACATGTAATTGGATCAGAAGGTATTGAAAGAGATGAAAATAAAGTTAAAGCTATGCTTAATGCAATAGAGCCTAAGAGTGTCACAGAAGTAAAAGCCTTTACAGGGATGGTGAACTACTATGCTAAGTTTATACCACATTTATCAACCTTAATAGGTCCTATTTACAATTTGTTAAAAAAAGAGGTAAAATTTGTTTGGAAAAAGGAATGTAGAGAGGCATTTAATAAGACAAAGCAAGCAATGGCATCAGAATCATTATTGGTTCATTACAATCCTGATTTGGATGTTGTATTGTCTTGCGATGCGTCGGAGTATGGTATAGGAGCAGTGTTAATGCATATTTTTGAAAATGGAGAAATCGACCAGTGGGGTATGCATCAAGAATCCTAACCGTGGCTGAAAGAAAGTACTCAGTAATACAAAAAGAGGCTTTAGCGGTTTTCTGGGGGGTAAAGAAATTTTCTCAGTATCTTTTGGGTAGAAAATTTTTTCTGGAGACTGACCATAAACCTTTGTTAGCGTTGTATGGGGAAAAGAAAGGTATTCCTGTTATGGCCTCTGGGAGAATTCAAAGGTGGGCGTTATATTTATCTGAGTTTGATTATCAAGTGGTACATATTAAAGGTAATGATAATAAAGTGGCAGATGGACTTTCTAGATTACCTGATAAAGATTATGTATTAATTCAAACAAAAGAAGTGAATTATGTTGATTTTATGGAAAATACTATGCCTATTGATTATGAGATACTTAGAGTAGAAACTAAGAAAGATAAAGAGTTTAGTTTAGTTATTAAGTTTTTGAATGAAGGTTGGCCGATAAAAGTAAGCGAGGAACTGAAACCTTATGCAATTAGAAAGGAAGAAATTTGTGTAGATAAAGATATATTAATGTGGGGGTATAGAATATTAATTCCTAAAGTTCTGAGGAAGGATTTATTGAAAGAAGTACATTCAACGCATATGGGTATGTCTAAAATGAAAACATTGTGTAGATCATACATGTGGTGGCCTGGATTAGATAAAGATATAGAAAAGTGGGTACAAAGTTGTGATGCTTGTTTACAAAGTAGATCAGAACCAATTTTAGCTGAACCAAAAAAGTGGGAGAAAGCGAGTTGTCCAATGGATAGAATACACATAGATTTTCTATATTTACAAGGTAAAAACTATTTGATCATGACAGATATATTTACAAAATGGCCAGAAGTAGCTGAAATGAAAATATTGAACAGTGGTTCGGTTATTGAAAAGTTAAGAGAGATATTTGCTAGGTTTGGATTACCGAACAAAATTGTGTCAGATAATGGACCACAATTTAGATCAGAGGAGTTTATACAATTTTGTAAAAATAATATGATTAGGTTTGTAACGTCCCCTCCTTATCATCCGGCTACAAATGGATCGGCAGAAAATGCTGTTAAATCTTTAAAAAATGGTATATTAAAGGCAGTTAAGGATAAAATAAATAAAAATGTTTCTTTAAATACATTAATTCAAAGATATCTACTGACATATAGGAATACACCACACTGGATAACTGGTGAGTCACCAAGTTATAGAATGTTTGGAAGGAAAATTAAAACTAGGTAAGATCAATTATATATTCCTATAGAAAAAAATAAACAGTATGTAAAAAGATTTAGAAAAATATATTTTAAAGAAGGAGACATAGTTTATGCTAGGGTTTATTCCAACCCTAATAAAAAAGAGTGGAAGAAAGGAACAGTCGAAGAAGTGTTAGGTGATAGAATATATTTAGTTAGATTAGAAAAAGGAAATGTGATATGGAGAAGACACGTTGACCAACTAATAGAAGTAGGTAAGATAAATGAAAAGAGTTATGAAATAGAAGAAAATGAGAAAGGAGAAGAACAAACAGAACTGGAGGAAAAGAAAATTAATGAGGTAAAAGAAGAAGCTATTGATAAAAAAAAATATGAAATAAATGAAAGTTTAGAAAAGGAAGTAGAAGTTCCTTTACCAAAAAGATCTAAGAGAAAAAGAAAAAAACCAGATAGGTTGAACATATAAAATTGTATTATATAATTATTTAGGTTTTATATTTGTTGTATGATGTTTATTAGTTAAGTTGATTTTGTTGATTTTGTATAATGTAAAAGATTTAATTATGTATTAGCTATTAATTGTTATTCATTAGTATTGATGTAACTAGGGATAAGGACTGTGATAACGTCATATGATAATGTATATTATGATAACATAACCTAATAATTATAATGTAACATGTTGTAACAAGAGCTGTTGACAACCATGTGTGTGTTATATATTCATTTATACTAAATAAAGTAAAGTTGTTTATTCCAGTAAACTACAAGTATTATGCTACCTTTATAAGATATTACACTAACATGGTTTTTCTGTCGGGGATTTACTTCCCTTAGGGCTTTACTCGTCCGGGAGCAGGCTACCTCCGACCTTGCCGGCCCCAACTGGTTATGGTCAGGGCCAGTTCAGAACCTTTGCAGGTGTGTGCAAGCTGAGTCTGAGTCTGCCGATCCCTACCAGTGAAAGTAAGGACCGGCTCTTTGTACTCCGACTACAACTGGTTAAGGTCGCAGCCGGGTATGGGACCACTTGGTAAAGCCATTTAAGGCCCGTTAGCTCCCCCACCACGTCAAGGTGGGTCCCGTCGGGGGAGAACCTAACCTAACCTAACCTTTTTTTTTTTTTGATCGCAAAAAGGGAGGTGTTGTTTATCACAGTACTTCTCCCCTAATTGCATCGTTTATTTAACGATTTATAATTATAAGTTATAAGCTGCAACTAAACAAAAATAAATAAATAACTTCACATTTTTGTTTATAATTTTATAATAACTTTGAAATTAAGTTCTCGCTCTACCTTTATTTTCACACAAACTGAGTAGGTAATTGGTACATTAATAAATAATATTTATTATTAAATATATACAAGTATCTTTCAAAATGTTATTTTACATGATTTGTATCTATGAAGTACCCTTTTTTTTTCATGTTTCAACCGACGTCGCCGCGGGGACAGCTTTCGCAATACTTCCGCGAGTCTATGAAGTACCTACCTACCTAACTAATTTATCGTAAATTAAAAACATACCTTGTCTAAATTTGAGTCAGCCAAATTAGAATTTTCAGTTACACAACTATTATGTTTATTTCAGTCATCTGATTTACTAACTTTTGAATTATCATAATTTATGGACTATAAGAAAACAAAAATTCAATAATGTTATTTTGAAATATGAATTTTATTTTATTTTAATTTATATGTAGTGAATAGGTATTAACTAATAAGTATACTGTATAGGTATTTGAATTAATCCAATATGTTTGTAAACTGTTTATATTAAGTTGTTTTAATTATTTTTTACAAATTAATAGCAAATGATAGGTACCTATTTAGTAAACTCATTTATAATTATAAAAATTTGTGTAGATTCTAAACAAAATATTATAAATTAAGATAATAGTAGATAAGTACCTACTGTATTAAATATTAATGTAAAAAATTAATATTAATATTAAAAATTTTGTAGTAGATTAATAATACTTACTTTATTTTCAGTACGTAATTTTTTACTGAAGTAATTGTGAAGAGAATTTTTTCTTTTATCCATTTGAAAATTTTAATTATAACATAATATATAATAATAAAACACTCAGTGGTGATTTCAGTCGTGTGCTCGTTTTAGGCAGGGCGCACACCAAAGCAGCGCGGTTGCAGTGCGGCGGTCTATACTCCGGACGGAATAAGAACGTACCTCGTCCGCAACCTTGTCATAGTTATAAACATATAGTTATAGTCATAACTATGATCTGCGCGCAGCAAACTTGTTTTGGTCCGCCGCCCGGGTATGTTCTTATTCCGGCCGGAGTGTAGAAGCGCGTGGACTTGCACTGCATCGCGCCAAAATACACCAAAGATGTGGATGTGTGGCGTTATCATTAATCGATTTTAATTAAAATATATGAGGATTTTCATTTTTTATATTATTTTATATTTTATTATTAGTTTTGAAGTTATGGCCTAATGAAGTTCGCTATTTTGAGATTTTCACCCATTCGCGCAACACTAGTTTACCCCGCGCCTACTACGAATATTGATATTTATATTATAATTATTATTTATTTGTCGTCGTCGTTGCCTACGTCTTTTTCACCGTCATCGTTCCCGTCATCATCATCGTCACTGTCATCATCGTCGTCACCGTAGTCGCCGTCGTTGAATATCATATTATCCTTATTTTTCGCATCATAAAGGATACCCGCATGTTTGAAGAACTCAGCTGTTGGGTCTAGCTTATGCGAACGGCAGTGTTTGGTAAACATAAATTTCGCCAAATAGCCTGCTTAAAAAGCTTTTTTACGGCAGTAATTAGACATTGATACCTTCGAATGCCTCCACGAACTTTCTATTGTGTTGGAGTGGACCCCTGTCTCAGGGTCCTTAAAATGCAGACTATGATTTACAGTTAGGTGCTGATAGCCTTCATTATTTAAGGTATTGTAGGCCTAAAATAAAATAGTAAATTAATTTATATTTTCGAAAATATATTACTCTCCAACAATCAGATATAATGGTTGTTCACGGTTTTATACAGTATTTTATAATGACCAGAAGGGTTTCGGTGGTTCGGTTTTCAACGGGGATCATAAAACAGTTACCTGTTTCCCGTTCATAACTGCCGAAAACCCGTTGGTCCTCAACTCTATGACCCCGATGATGCTTTCGACGTCCAAACTTCGATTCGTCGATTTCAACCGTACGTCCACAGCCGCCCAATTTTACTTTCCGTAACACCATCGCGTCGTAACTTACTTCTCGGCATAAAGACGACCATTCAGTTATAACTTGGTTGGAGAACCTCAATTGCACTTTCATCACAGGGAATGAACAGTGCAGTGACCACAAATTAATAAAGCTACAAGTTTCTAATAGCGTATGATTGGACTTGTAAAAAAATGTTTCGTGTCTGAGTGACATGCTATAAATGTAAATATTTTTAAGTGTTAGTAATTTGGCATAATTCTAGTTTAGCACGCGAATTTTCCGATTAAACCTGTGGCATACTTGGGGAGGTGTTACACAGCAAATCGGGGGATATTTTCGTTTTTAATTGTCCGAGCGAGCGCAGCGAACGAGTGACCCCACTCGGTGAATCGGTGCAACAAAAATGCATTTTTTTTTAAACCTGCGGCCTACTTGGGGAGGCGTTGCATACCAAATCGAGGTTAAGTAGAAAAGTTCCCATATTAGTAATAAATAATAATATACAATTTAGTAGTGATGCACAACGATATATTTTCCGTTATCGATATAGGTTCATTGATATTGATATCATATCGCGATATCGAAGAACAACCATATCGATATCGACAAACGATATATCGATATAATTTATTTTTATATATAATAGGTTTTTTTTTTAAATTAATATTTCTTACATTAAAAAAATATAAAAAAAGGAAAAAAAAGGTTTCATATTATATTATTATTTATTATAAACAAAAATTTACAAATTTAAATTGAATTAAAATTACAGGTACTATTGTAAGAACTTTATCGTATTGTTTATCGTTCTTGTTTAATCGTTCTTAGACATTGATTTACTGTCAAAACTTATATAAATAGAAAATAGAAATATCAAATTGCAACGAATTGATATCAATTTTCGATATCGATAAAATGTTGGATATTTGCCTGCGATGTCGTATTTCGATATCGAATATTATTTTTGTCATATCGATATCGGTAAAATTGGTCTGATATCGATATCGATATCGAAATACGACATCATTGTGCATTACTACAATTTAGTAATAATGAGACAGTCGTAAAATAGCCATAATAATATAAAAAAAAAGAAATCGGTAAAACAAAAATACCACCCCGCGCGGGAGTACTGTGGCGCGCGTATATACGTAAATTTTAACTCGTTGAAATACATAGATTTCCGAACAATTTGCGTGGCTGCGAAATTAGATTTGTTCCAGTAGTTTTAGTCATTTTATATTTACCTATAATTGCTTGATTTTTTTCCTTTTTTGTTAATTTTTTCACGACAAATCCATTTGTATTTATCGATTGACGATTGATCTTTAACCAATCTTATCGGATGTCCTGGGATACAATTTTGTTTATTTGGCAATCAAACCTAAACCATCGTTCAGGCTTGACCATTCCATTAAATCAAACAAATTTATATGCTTCTCCATAGTATAGAATGTTTAAAATGAAATGTAATGTTTTCGCGCCAGTAAAGAATATCTCCCATAATAATTGTCATATCTACTCTCCCGATGAAGAAAGAAGGAACTCATATTTATAAATTTCTTTTTTCTTTCTATGTGGCATCACTGTTTTTTCTAGATTTCCTACTTATAAGCAGTGATTACAAGTATTGCGGCACTTATCGAAAAAAAAAATATTAATATTCGTAATAGGCGCGGTAAACTATAGTGTTGCGCAAATGCGTGGAAATCGCAAAATATCGAACTTCATAAGGCCATAACATCAAAACTAAGTCCTTGCGCTAAATTTGGACTTCACCATCGTTTTCAGCGTACTTAACTACATTAGTTAAAAAAAAAATTGCAAAAAAAAGGGTGTCTGGTAAAGTAGTAAAGTTCCTTTTATGTTATTTGTGTAACTACCTGTACTTAGTTAGCAAAGCAAAAAAAAAAAATTAGAAATTAGTCTTTTTTTTTTGCGTTTGCCTCCAGATCCACTTGGTGGTTGTTCTTTAACTTGCCTTAAGTACTTTCCACTAATATTCCTCCATTTTTCTTTGCAATTACTTACTGAAAATATAAACTAATAGATTTTAATACAATTTAAACTTAAATATTATATAAAATATATAGGTATAATAAAGATGGGCAAGTTAATGATAATAATTAACTCAAGTTAAGTTAAGTTAAGAGGGTACAAGATCGATAAGTTAAAAGTTAACAGTTAGATTATTATTCATTTAACTCGATAAGTTAAAAGTTATTAGTAAAAAAAAAATACTAACTTATTAAATCACTTTAAAAAAAGTTGATATACATTTTTTGTAATTAGTATGTTCATCACATAAATAGTGCATTATTTTTAATTTCCAAAATTATAATAAAAAATTTTATTGAGCATTAATTGTAATGTACAGTGTATGTACCTATTTTACTTTGCATGATTATTAAATATTTAAATTATACCAATTCAATAGCCGACTAACTCAACATCCAAACCCTCTTATAACTCAACTCTCATCCCCAACTATCCCAGGCAACCCTAAAAAAAGGCTAAAAAGATAGTGGTGTTGTGACCTGTTAAAATAAACTGGGGGGAAAAAAATATAAAAATGTGCAAATAGTCTAACTACTATCTTGACGAAGTATCTCCATTGGAGGTCTCTTCACTCCGTCATTCCTGTTATATTTTAATATTATATAAATTAAGCTTATTGTTCTAAATTGTAATTCTAAAAAAAATTATACCAACACAACCTTATTGATAATTTAACAAATATAAATTTGTTTTTACTTTTTACCAATTAGCAATTTAATGTCATATAATATTATGCCTACCTAATCTAATTAAAAATATCTATAAAAGCTAAATGAAGGTAAGTAATAAGGTTTATGGAAATAACCATAAATAAGGTTAGGTTAGAATTAAATCAAATTTAATTTAATTAATTAAATTTGTAAGGTTGGAAATTTGGAGTACAGTTTTTTTTTTTTATTAGATTTCTTGCGATGGGAGGTAATATGAAGGCTCATTCAATGTACTTTTTGAGAGGAGAGTCAACTACTAGAACTATTATTTCTGAAACATTCCAAGTTATTTGGGATTGTCTCCACGATATATATATGTCAATTCCTTCAAAATAACATTGGAAAAAAGTTGCAGATCGTTTTTATGATTTATGGAACATTCCAAATTGTATCAGCGCTATCGATGGGAAGCACTTTAAAATCAAATGCCCATCAAATACAGGCTCAGCTTATTTTAATTCTAACCATTACTTTAGTGTTGTTTTGATGGCCTGTGTGGATGCAGATGGACTTTTTTTAAAAATTGATGTTTGTGATTATGGGCGAAACAGTGATGGCAGAGTATTTAGAAGGAGTTCGCTTGGAATAACCTTAGAAAACAACGCACTGGATATTCCTGAACCTAAAGTATTACCTGGATGGGAAAATAAGGACAAATGTCCACACTATTTTGTGGCAGATGAAGCGTTCCCCCTAAAAACCAATATAATGCGACCATTTCCAAAAAGGTCATTGAATAAAGAGAGACGCATTTATAATTACAGGTAAAAAAAAAAATTTGCACTATCTTTGTAATACTATACATTATTATTACTCTCATAAATATTTATATATTATATTGTATTTTTATTTACAGATGTTCTAGAGCAAGGAGGATTGTGGAGTGCAGTTTTGGAATGCTTGTGTCAAAGTTTAGACTTTTTGAACAACCTATAGGTTGCAAAGTAGAAACAGCCGAAACATTGATTAAAGCAGCATGTGTTTTACATAATTTTATTCGCATAAAAGAAGCCGTATTTTCAACACCTTCACACCCATCAACCATCAATTCAATGGGATATCAAAATATTGAGGATCAAGGAATAAGACCAACAAGAGCAGAAGAAAGAAACAGAGATTTTTTATGTGACTATTTTGTATTAGACGAGGGAAAAGTCCCATGGCAGGACAATTTCTCATAAAATATTTTGACAAAATTATTTGATTTTAACATTTTTAGTATAAGATAGATTAGTGTTAAGATATATTTTGTTTGAGTAAAGTTCAACAAAAGTTGGATGGACAACTACGACCACAGTGGGAACTACTTGTAGACACCAATGAGGATCCAAGCGATACCGAATTTATAACATTCCTAACTAAGTTCTGTAATGCAGCATCAGCAGGAAGTCAATTTGAAGGAGGGCGGGAAAAGGCCAAAACCACATCCCAAACCAAGACTACTGCGTTGCATATAGTTCAATCAAATCAAAAACCGACTACGACAATGCGAAAAGTAAAGTACGAAGAAGAAAGTAACTATTCGTGCCAGGTGTGCCAGTCGAGACCTGGACACTTGCTAATTGCGTGCCCAGTCTTCAAAGAAAAGACACCTACAGACATCAAATTATAAAAGAGCTGAACCGCTGTTACTTATGTTGTAGTGAACATAGAATTTCTCAATTTAGTAATACTAGGGTTTGTTCAGAATTCCATATACACCATTCAATACCATCATTCGTTGTTACATTTAAGAACCACGGAGAGTGATTAGCAATCGGTGACTGCAAACACGACTATGCCTTCAGCTGCTAATGAGAGACCTGACAGCTGCCGTGTGCTTTTGTTGACAATAGCTATTCTTGTTCAAGATGTTAATGGTGATTACCAAGAGTTTCGAGATTTTTTAGACGGTGTCAGTGAAAGTAGTTACATGACGGAAGTTTGTGGAAGAAAACTAGGTTTAGCACTACAGAAATGTAATTTGGTGGTTCGAGGGATGTCTAACGTACAGGTAGCATCTACTTAGGTTAGCAAACTTTGCTTAGTATGCGACCAAGGGTCTTTTGTGTTTAAAGTGATTAAGAGGGTGGGTTTTCTGAGACCCAGTTTATAGGACGTGTTTTTAGATTTTTGAAGGTTCGAGAGGGTGCGGGCTGTTCTTCACGAACAGGCTGTCATATATGCCTAAATCTTGAAAGAGAGTTTTTGTGAAAGAATGCGGTGGCTTGGGAGTGGATTTGTGACTTGATTTGTTTTAGATTGGCGGTGGAGAGAGTGACTCTATTTGTTACGTAGTTTGGAGTGCCCAGTATCGTTCTCAAGCCTATTGTCTGTACGGCTTCGATCTTCTTCCATTGTGATTTGGTGATGAATGGAGCCCAGGCAGCGCCTGCATACGTAAGTATTGTATTTATGTACATTTTGAGTATGTTTAACCGATTTCTCATTGGGATAGGGCTTCGTTTGTTTAATATCGGGAATAGCATGCCGCGAGTTTTAGTTGCCTTTTGGGTTATATTTTTAATGTGCTGGGGAAAGTTTAAAGTGCGGGCAATGGTGACTCCTAGATATTTGACGTGAGTGGACCAGGGTCTGGAGTGTTGTTGATAGATATATGAGGCAGGTGTTTGGTTTGTTTACGGCTGAACAGGATGGCAATGGTTTTGGTAGCGTTTATTCGAAGGCGCCATTTTTAAAACCAATCAGATGCCGCGCGTTGTTGTCTCTCTAGTTATATCTAGGTAGCATCTATTAAGCCTCACGTCAATTTAAAACCTACGTCCCGTAAGAAGTAGTACTCCTGAAATAAACATCAATGCTTATGTGGTTCTTCGGATAACAGGAATAGGTATTACCATCAAAACACGTATGGAAAGCCTAATGACAACATCTAAAGGGACTCGAGTTGGCCGATCCCAGGTATAGCGAGCCAATGTCAGTAGACATTTTACTCGGCTCTGATGTCGTTCCCTATGTGTTACTCGAAGTGGTCGTAGAGTATGTACAGTGACGGAGCCGGCTGGGCTTGGAACTGTGTTTGGATGGACACTTATGGGAAACACTAGAACTTCAACAATGGAGACAGCCAACACATTCGTAACTGCATTGGATTAGTAACCTAGCTTTAATATATTTGGATGTAGATGAATTGAAATTCGATAAACCAGTATACGTAGGGTTTGCGATTTTGGACATATCAAAGACATTAATTTATGATTTCCATTATAACTCTGTGGTTAAAAGTTATGGTTCAAATATTCAACTGGTGTATACGGATACAGGTACATATATTGCATAAATGTTTATTTACCAATAAATATATTTATTTTTTATTTTTTTTTTTCAGATTCATTGATATATTATATAAAGACATCTGATTTCTACGCTGATTTGTTGAATAACCCCGATCTTTTACAACGTATGGATATTTCAAACTTGCCGATCAATCATCCATGCTATTGTGTTGACAGGAAGAAATTACCTGGGACTTTTACTGATGAAATGGAAATACAAGCTATAACAGAGTTTGTTGACCTACGAGCTAAACCATATGCTTATAATCTATCGGGTGTGGAAAAAATCAAAACGAAAGTAACAAAGGTCATGTCGTTAAAAATCATATGAGTTTAGCAGATCATAAACAATGTTTATTATGGGACGGCACAACGGTTGATAGTGATACTGGAAGAGGCATAGCTATAAAACAATTCGAGTTGTTTAAATCTACAGGGCACACATCTTCAACAAAACAGTATACACCGTATCGAGTAAATATATCACTAAGATCTTTTAAATATCAGATGAAATCAATTTCAACAGTTAAATTAGCTTTAAACCGACCCGACGATAAGAGAATAGTACTTTAAAATCAAATTAATACCTTGGCTCATGGACATCAGGCGCGGATCCAGCCTGAGATTATGGGGGGGGGGGGCGAATATTTTACATACGAAATAAAATATCTAATAAAATATAATATGTGGGCAAGCGCACATATTTGTGTTCAAAAATAACTTACACGAAACAGTTATGTTAAATACAACTTTTTAATCAATTGATAAATTCCAAATAGTGAACTAAAAACTAAAACATCAGTCATGAATATAAAAATTAAAAAGATAAAAAAACGTACATAGTCATTAAATTTAAATTACAAAATCTAGTCTTCTATTAGATTTTGCAAATACATCAATCACATCCTCAGAGTTTATTGTTATATCACGATGAGCATGTAGTAAAGCCAGTCCATTCAATCGATCTTCCGAAATTCTTGTTCTCATCCATGTTTTTATCCACCTCAGAGATGAAACATTGGGTTCTGCTGATGCAGTGGTCGCTGGTAATGTTACAAGTATATTTAATAGAATATTGATTTCAGGAAAACAATCGTAGTCACAACGTTTTAAAGCATCAATATGAGTCACAGGTAGTTGCTTTTCGTTGAGCCAATATTCGTGCCAAAGGGTTAATTCTCCACTTATGCGTTTTTCAAATATATCATGATATACATTTAAATAATTTGATACTACATCACCAAATTGATTAACCACGTTTAAAATCTTATTTTCTATTTTAGTCTTATCGTTAAAAATATCTTTTTTCTCAATTATATTTGGTAGGACTACATCAAGATCGTATACTGATATTGAAGCTTCGTCAAATCTTGATTCTAAATCAGCTAATAATTCATCCAAAAAAAAAAAAATTTAATTAAAATCTTTCAGTTTAATTTTCATATATCAACAAATAATTTTTTTATATTACAATAAAATAACTAAGTTCGTTATTCTTGGTTTTAATATGTAATTTCGTCCGAATTTAATTATTAAATATTATAAATTAAATTTTAATTTATTTTAAATTTAAAAATTATTAATTATTCATTTTTAATATATTCTTACCTTTAGATTTTATGAGAGGTCAATTTTCTCTAATTTATAAACTAACGAAGTTACACGTGTTCTGCTGAGCGTACAATTTGCTATGTTACGTACTTATAAGACAGAGACAACAAAGGGTATTAGCCTTATGTTCATCAATCATCATATTTCTAAACAGAACGTCAACAATACATCAGTTATCAGTAGTCAAGTAAATTAAAAAGCAATTAATTTATTAAACAAAATGTAATTGGTATGTTCATTTTTCTCGATTTTAACACAATACTGGGTGATTCTTTTATCAAACAACACTCATTATTTCAAAAAGTGTAAATTTTTTTGAAAATATTTTTTTACATAGTTTCAAGTCGTTTATAAAACAACGTTTTTATTAAAAAATTATATTTTTAAATATTTTTTATCCTTATAATTTTTTAAGTTTTTTATTTTTTTGAATAACAACATAGTGGTTTTAATTTTATGTTCCAAAGCAGAATATTTTTCTTAGTATTTTGATACATGAAAATCGAATTTGGGTTGAGTAGTTTATGAGTTATAAATATTCAAAGTTTGATGAGCGGTGAAGTGGACAAACATTTCGCGGGGTAACCCCGAACCACTCCACTCCACTCGTCTAAACTTTAAATACTTATAACTCATAAACTGAGTAGTTTAATGTATCGAAATACTAAGAAAAATATTCTACTTTAGAATATAAAATTAAAACCCTATGTTGTCATTTAAAAAAGTAAAAAACATAAAAAATTATAAGGATAAAAAATATTTAAAAATATAATTTTTTTATAAAAACGTTGTTTTATAAGCGACTTGAAACTATTTAAAAAAATATTTTCAAAAAAATTTACACTTTTTGAAATAATGAGTGTTGTTTGATAAAATAATCACCCAGTATATTACATTACAATTTAAATAACAAAATATATACTATCAACAAATATTAGGTAGGTATACAATGATTTTATTTTAAAAAGTTTTTCTTTCTAGACTTCATATTTGCAGTCATTTATCAAATTTTCAAGATCAAGTTAATTTGTAGTTGATTTATCAATGTTAATAGTTAATCGTTAATAGTTAACAGTTAATCTCTCTTGTGACATTGAATTCCGAAGAAAGTTTTACAACAGTTTTAACTTGGAAAATTAGCTTTCGGCCGTAATGTTGGTATTGGGAGACTTAAATATATAAACAAATTTTAATTATATAAAATCCCACTATATAAAGGGACGAAAGATAATTTTCAATAATAAAAAATGTGAATTATTGAATTTTTTTAATTTTTTTTTTCGAATAATATCAAAATAATAATAACTATCTAAAGTAATAGATTGCTATTATAAAAGGTATATTTTCTTTTTTTTTGAATAATAACTTATTTAATTTTTTTCTTTTGTCGATGGGCCCCCATTTAAAAATAAAATCTGGCCAGGGAATGCAATGCATACTATGCTTACCCTATTTTTGCGGCACTTAACTTCACATTAACTTTTAAACTCATTTATGACCATTGACCATGCTTGCAAATGTATGTGTTATAATAATATACTAATTACAGTTCTTCCCAGGTCTATTAAATATTATGTATAAATACATTAAGTTCTTATTTAAATTCGTCAGCCTCCGGATTTCACTTAGAGCATCGTTCAGATTCTTTGTACTAAATATATGATCTATTTCTTTTAGATTTTTAACCGTAACCTATTTGATTTAAAAGATTAGAGTTCTTTGATTTTTCGTCATTAATCTGGTCTTGTAATTTATAGATTTGTTTCTGCAACGACTGAAATTAAAGTATAGATAATAAATATAAATTATAAATTATTTATCTAATATCCTTAAAATGTCAGTACCTAAGTAATAATAATAGTCACATAAAAAAATAGTTAACGTTAAATAATGTTGCATTATTTTTTAATACTAAATACTAATTGTTATCCCTTCGTAGGTAGGTAATATGCAGTAAAAAGAAATATTTGGTTAGTAAATAATGGTTGTATTTAGAATAGGTATTGTCTTACTTCTTCCATAAAATATGACTTTGCTGGTTTGTCATTATTGCACTCTACTATCGATTTATTTATAATAACGATTTACTTCTCTCTAAATTTTCATTCCTATGACTTAACTT